ATAGCTTAGGTGTGGACATTTATAAGACACCATGGGAGAAGTTAGCGGGTGGTACCGCCTCGGTCGACTGGTCCTTGTCTACCACTTTCTTTTTACGTGTTAGTGATATTAAATAGACCTAAAGTGGCCCGTTGGCGGACTTGTACCGCCACCCGGCAATCGGTACTGAGGTATTCCTTAACGCGTGTACAATCGCTTGAACGGGAAGAAGTTGTATACTTGATACAACAACTTCCAAGACAAGCATTTGCCACGGCCCCGCTCAGTAGGGGTTAATTCCATTTCCATTTTTTCTTAACAGGTTGAATACCATGGCGGTCGCATATGATTGCCTGCAAATAACCCCACCATGCCATGGCGGTCGTATGCGACCGCTCCACACTTGCCTTCAAAATTCATTTATGATATGCCAGCGGTCGTTGATCGGCACATAATTATTATGACAGAAGACCGCTGTGGCATACACGCCTAGCTTAAGTTAGCGGTTTTTGCTGAAGCTTACAAGAGAAAGTGAAAATAATAATGACAGAATAGGATCTGTTGCAAAAAGCTTCACTTTTTTCAAATTGGCACCAGAGACATTTACTGCGATTTTTCATGGCAGTCAACCTGTTAGATATCGTAATATATCTCTAGCGAATTGTATTAGAAATTGTTAAAATTAAGAAAGTGCAGACGTATCACTTAGATTGGATCGAATAAGAAAAACGCGTCAATAAGAGCCAAAAACGATAACAAAGTGTTTTTGATAAATTATCTTAGTTATGTTTTTACTGATATGCATTTGTGCTAGCATTGATTAACGTACTCACGATTGTACCTGAGTACCTGCATTAATCAGTGGTGCTAACTAAACCGACCGAAATTTTTTAACCGAGACTAAAATTTCACTCTCAGTTTTAGTTCCGATCGAAATCGAATCTTCTTTTTGAGGAAAATGGCCTTCTTACAGAAGAGTGTTTGATAAAATAATAATTTAGATGTTCTGAAAACGTTCTCGTATTTGATATGGAAGGTTATAAAATTCTATAGAAATGAGTCTTTATTTCTAATAATCATGCTCTTTGTCAAATATGGGGTTGTCCAAAACGGACGCAGGAAAGTAAACGCATATTAAATCAAGAAAGATTGATATTCAAATCAAGTTGGGTACTTTATTTTGAAGGTTCATTTATACCATTTATGTATGAAAAATAATATCGCTCAAATGTTCACCACGACTGGATTTACAGACGTCCACGCGATGGTCGAAATTTTCAATGACATTTTGCAACATGGTCGGTTCTATGGCATTTATCTCGGCAATGATGTTGTTTTTGAGTTCTTGGAGGGTGGCTGGTTTGTTGACGTAGACTTTGCTTTTCAAATATCCCCATAAAAAGAAGTCCAAGGGAGTCAAATCGCACGATCTTGGTGGCCATGGCACATTTCCTCTGCGCGAAATCACGCGATCGCCGAAGAAGGACTGCAATCGATGGATATTGACGTTGGTTGTGTGGCATGTTGCACCGTCTTGTTGGAAATAAACATCGTTCATATCCATTCCTTCAAGTTCAAGTAAGGTCCGATGATGCCTTTTGACCACAATGCACACCACACAGTCACTTTTTGAGGATGCATCGGCTGCTCTTGATACTCACGGGGATTTTCGTTCGCCCAGATGCGGCAGTTTTGCTTGTTTACCGTCCCATTCAAAGTGAAATGCGCTTTGTCGCTGAACATGATTTTTGATGAAAAAATTGGCATCAATTTGGCGGTGTTCAAGGAGCCAATCTGAGAACGTTCGGCGCGAAAAATGGTCGGCCCGACGCAGCTCTTGCGTCAATTGGATCTTGTAGGCGTGTACATTCAAATCCTTGTGGAGAATGCGGAGCAAACTGGTTCTCGAAATGCCCAATTCTTGGGAT